GGAGCCACCCACGGTGGAGTGGTATTGGGCACCGGAAGACTCACCAGGTGGGAAGGCCAATCAGAGATAGACTGGTGCATGTCCAATTCTCCCAGTCTGTTCGGAAATCCTGAACTGCTGACAGATTATCATATCAGTGATCATATCGCCATCAGTGTTCCTGCTCAGCCCAAAACTGCCCCCGCTCAACATTATCGCTTAGCTCCTCAGCCGCGCTGGACCAAGCCGAGCTTCCTTTCAGACAGTGAATGGAGCAAAAAGTTGTGCGAAGCTTGGTGCCTTCACAAACAGGATGAAGAAGCGACGTACCTCCAAAAATTGAGCCCACTTGAGATCAAAGTGGACCTAGAATGGAAACAGTATATGAATTTGCTCAGCAAAGTTTATCAAACTGCCACAAAAATCAGTGCCAGCCTTATTGCCGCTCCAGAAAATGAAAAAGAACTTAAGCACAAACTTAACCAGACCGGACGCAAAAATGGCAAAGGCACTGCAGCCCCCAAATTTCAAAAAGTCAATCAAACCATTCATAACTCCGGTCACCAGCTAAGCAGCCAATCCGTACTGAAGCATGCGCGCCGCTTAGCCAGACTGTATGAATTGCAGAGATTGATCCACAAAGATGTGAATAATCAAAGGCATCTCCTCAACGAATGCCCTGAGAACACTCGAAATCTATTCAGGAAATTGTGGAAAGCCGAAGTCACTCCCAGAGACCTCAGTCTTGTCAATATCTTGCACAAAATCAAAAGGGATATCCAAGACACCAATGCTGATCGACTCCGCCAAGAGCATGATAATACACAATTGAGATTGCGACAGTGGAAAGCAAGATACCAGACTGGCAATATAACCGCCATCAGCAAATGGATCCAAAGGAAAGAGCAAAAAGCTGCCCAAGCCAATGTTTCTCTAGATGGACAGACAGCTAAAACTGATGCCGAAGCAGCGCAGTTTGTTCACCGTTTCTGGAAAAAGCTGTGGCAAGACCAAGCTGAAACTCAAGCGCAAAATCCCCTTTCAGAGGAAGATGTTGCACAAATGCTAGCGGAGCATTTTCCCCAAGCTTGCCGACAGACTTGGGAACCACCGAACTACTGGCAGCTCCACAGTGCTGTTCGCTCTTGCCAAGGCAGTGCAGGAGTTGATAGTTGGAGCTCAGATGAAATTCGATATTTGCCAGATGATGCCATATCGGACCTTTATAAGCTTGCCTGTAGATGGGGGACTGCCAAACAAATTCCGTCCCTGTTACAATATGGCAAAATGACCAGTCTCCAAAAGCCAGGAAAGATCAAAAACCATGAAATCGAGACCAATCACAATCTTGAGTATATTCTGGCGATGCTGGTCCAGTGCGTGGACGCATAGCATCAGTGCCATGCGCTTTGCAGACACTCTCCCAACATGCCTCAATGGAATCCACGGTCACCACGGTACTGAGGAAGCTTTTAGCCTGTTGCAAGACAGAATGATTCTTTCAGATGCAGGGGTCGTCAGCCTCGATTATAAGCAAGCCTTTGACCGCATGAGGGCCACCATCACGTCCCAATTTCTGCACCGCATTGGCGTGCCAGAATCCTTCACTAGTCTGCTGCAGCAGGTCTGGAACACTCGTCGACTTGTCCAGTATGGGTCCTCCTTTCACGATGAAGTGCTAGTTAGCAACTGTACGCCGCAAGGTTGCCCTTTTGCTCCGCTCGTTCTCAGCTGCTGGATGCTGAGCGGACATAGTCATGTTGAAAAAGATCTCTTGCGACAAGGACACACCAAAAGTGATTTGAACAAATCGCACACCACCATTTATATGGACGATCGTAGCTTGTGCGACAGCAATATTCCTCGATTGCTCGACCGAGCTGATGCATGGTTGCGATGGAGTACTATGACCAACTTACTCGAAAATACCAACAAAATACAGGCCGTAGCCCGTACCAAACAGAAACAAAATCAACTCGCAGACCTCCGGGCCGAGTGGACTGGCCAAGCTGAAACCACAATACTGGGCATCACCTTGACCCTTGAACGCCGGAGAAACTCAGAGACAGAAATCAAACGTATTGACAAAGCCAAGCGACGCACCAAACTGCTGGCATGCCTGCCATTACCTTGGCCCAACAAGTTGGCAGTTTATAAAGCTTTGGTTCTTCCTGCCGTTGTTTACGGCTGGGTGTGTCGCAAGCCGACCACCTTCACAAAGCCTTGACTCGCGCTTTGCACACCAATGTCATGGCCAATAGTGACATCCGCAAAGTTGTCTATGGTGGAACCACTCATCCCTTGTGTGTCATCAAACAAAGGCTTTTCCGGCGCCTCGGACGCCTGAAGAAGCAGAAGTCAGTCACTTGGACCAATCGTGCCTGGACCAGCACCAACTTGCTGCGCAATTACCTGGCTGACGACAACTGGACTGAAGTCCGAGAATGGTGCTGGACAAACACTAGCCGCGTTTCCCTCACTCTGGATGCAGCAGAAAACAAAACCTTTCATGACCCTGAATGCCATCTCCTTCGCCAGCAGTGGCGATTGCAGTGCTTGCAAGATTGGCTTCAAGGCCAACGTCATGAAGCCCGTCTCTGGAGAGAGACGGAATCCACCGAAAACATTGAGCGCCAGATGCTTCGTATTGATCTCAACTGGGCACGTCATGTCCTTGAAACTGCTTCCGCTCCCCACCGTGCGGTGCTGTTAGGAAGTGTGGTCTCGCCGGCCTGGCTGTCTCGCAGTCGCGGAGACTCAAGTGAATGTCCTTGGTGCAGCGAATCCTTTGCAACACTGCCCCACGTTTTTTGGGATTGTCCTTCACATCATGGGGAAATCACCAAACCAACAAATTATCTTCAAGCCCGTTTTGGCTGGCCGGAGCGCAATGTGCAGGAAGATGAATCTTGGAAAATTCTCAACCATATGGCCAATGTGATCAGTCAACTGTGGCTGGCTCGACATGGCGAAAGCCATGCTGTGCCGACTGGCACAGACAACTGAGGTAACTCAGTTCGGTGCTGGATGGGATGCAATGCGGTGGTGCGACTACCTCATTGTGTATCAGGGCCTCCAGCACTATCACAACATTATTTTTTCCGATACACTTCCGGTTGCCCTTTCACAGGCGGATGCTTGCGGCGAATTTTCTGAACCAAATCGACATAATGTTTGTTGCGTCCCGCAATAAATGTCTTTCTCAGTGATGTAGCATCTCCTTCGATGTCTCCCTCCAACAATACATTTTTGCTGCTCTCTCTGCCTGCCTTCGCTTCGATGGCACGCAAAGTGGAACACACACTAGCAATGCGATGCCTCCCCAAACCAGTCATCCTATGGATGGGCCGAGCACATGGTTGTTGGTCACGAGGCAAAGTCGCATAGCATTGCAAAACTTCCAGCAGCTCCTGCGGATTCATCCGCAAAAAAAGAAAAGGCCCATAGTGGATGACATTGGTTTCACTTCGACAGCAACGCTCCCCGCAGCGAACTATCAAATTGACTACACCATTGCCACCCCTCTCAACCTCGCATGGTGCCTCCAACTTCTTGGCCCCGCAGGACAAACACGCCATAGGTTTTCGGCAAAATCCCAAAGCAAGTAACACATCCCAAGATGTCCCGAGGCTTCGCAAGGCTTTTTTCACACGCAGAGTCATCTCCTTTTCTGCAGGCTCTCTAGAGGTTCGACCAGATTCGGCACATATCTTCGTTCTCTTTTTTGTGTACTCTTTGGTTGCATGTTTGAGTACCTGTCTATTCTTGAGGTCTTATGTCTCTACCAGGTTTCGAAATGGCCTGTTGAGTTCTCACCAGTTTTCGAAGTTTCCTGATCTCAGCGCCTGCCTGCGTCGGACATCGTTCTATTCGATGCCCTTTGGCACCGCAACCAAAACATCTTCTGATTCGAGGCATAGGTGCTGCAACATGTCCCCCAATGATCTTATCACATGGCTATCAATAACACGGAAAAGCACCAAACATTCGTAATTCCACAACTCTCTTGTCATTTGATGGAAAACAAAGTTAGTTCGTGAAGGCCTCAAAAAACCATGAAACATGAGAATACTGTAAATACCAGGATGATATACGCATGACCCTTCAAATAACGCGCGGGTATCTATCCGCCCGACGCGTCCTAAAACATCGCTATCTAGTCTAGTCCAAGTTTAGACCATGGTTTCTGGGGGGTGTTTAATATTGGGGGGATGGGATTATAAATGCATGAAATTCGTGAAAAAAATGGTCCCTAGTTGTTGACCATCATTTTGATATGGCCCAACATGTATATACATTGTTTTCGGGACTGTACACACGGCTATTATATACATCCTTGTATATCCTTGTCATGGATGCCAACAAAGAATCCACTGACTGCATGAAAAAGGTGGAAGGGGGAGTCTCCTTCCCAAGATCTTCGGCTAGATGCTGAACCAAATTTATGAGCAAAAACCGATGCTTAAACCCATCAAACTGTGGGCTCCCATTGCATCCCATGGTTTGGAAAACAATGAACATCATGTTCAGAATTGGGGCCCAATTCTAACAGTCTCACAAAGCCATTTTTGGTTCATCCGTTCAACATAGCCACTCTGCAGGAATGTCTGAAGCGGTAATTTGATGGTTTGGAACCTCATTTTTCTCTTTAAAATTGCCATGTAAGGTGGGAGTACATATCCCATGGGCAAACCCAAGTTTCAGATCAAAAGTCAAATAGGTGAAGTATTTCCTATCAAATACCTTCTTTTCCAGGTCATAGCCCTTCAAATCCATTCTCAGTTTGGCAAATTTCCCATATTGTGTGTTTAAACACCGTGTTAAATCTTCAAGGTGTTATGAACCCACAATATGGGAAATAGGTGAATTCCTATATTGGCAAATTTTATATTGGCAGATTTCACCAATATTGGAACGAAAATAAGGAGATTCCCATATTGTTTTTATTGGTGAATCTCCCTATTTTCGTTCCAATTCCTCCCCGAAATCACCGCTCCGAACACCATGCGGAATCGGCACACCTTGGTCCGGTGCTTCTGCGGAAACATCTCGGCACAGTAGACCCATGCCATGGGGCCCCAGCCTCAGGATGTGTGTCCAATAAGTGGACAATGATAACATAGTAAAAGTACTGGCAAAACTTACTGATAGTACCTAAAGGAAGATGGTGACGATGATCGTGATGGTGGTGATCGTGATGATGGATAGTGATGATGATCATGATCATGATCATGATAATGATGGATGATGATGATGATGATCCTAATCCTACTCCGACTCCTGCTCCTGCCTCCCCCTTTCATTGTCCAGCAGCCGTATGCAAAGTTCACAGTGAAACCGCAAATGGCCAGCGTGGCTGTCCTTGTACCAGTGATGTTCGCGATTTTCGGACCAACTTGTCACAAAACTGTGGAGCCGATACATATATATATATATGTATATATATAAATATTATAATATATATATTATATATATATATTAATATGGGATCCCATATACCACTTTACCTCCACAGAACGTGGCCAGCACTCAGGGGGAGGTAAAGTTTGCAACCATAAATTCTGGTGTCTGGAGAAATTATTTGAATTTATTTGCACAATCTGTTTGCGCAACAATGTTCTACTCTGTTTTTATCATCGCAGTAGTAAGTCAACAACTGTTCCAGATATGTAACAATAATCATGAGCATGTATCATGATTCTGAATCATGATAAATGCTCTACTAAGACGACGAAATATGACACGCAAAATAAGTTTTTTTCGAATCTGGCGAAGCCATGGGGCCATGGATTTTCATCATTTTCCTTCCTGTTTTTCTGTGTCCGAGAAACCAGCAAACTCATAGGGAGACCATGAGAATTCATGGGATATACTGGAAGATAATATGATGTAGTTGGATATACAATCGACAAAATCTTCACTATGACATTTGGAGATATCTACTGGGATTGCCCAGCCCGGTGTCATCATTGCAGCCGCTGGAAGTTATTCCCAGCCGAACGGCTGCCATGGAGGAATTGTGATGGCTGCTGACAATGATCATCCCAAGAAAGGTTGGCTTAAGATTTTTAATAGTCTACCCACAATTTTAATGTTACCCTCTGGTAAACGTTTACATAACCATGCTATTAATGGGTAAATCCACTATAAATGGCCATTTTCAATAGCTATGTTAAATAACCAGAGGGTATACATTGATGAGTTAGTTGATTGAGTGTTCATTGATCCTTAAAAAGACCAAACAAAAACATGGGTCCAGCGGTACCCAAGACTCAAAATGTCCCATTCCCATAGTTTCATGATGGCCATATCCCCATATTTTGGTCAGTTCTCCCATTCCTCACCCTGCCAAATTAGAAATAAACGCTAGCAAAGAGCTTTCATTTTTTGCATTCGATGTTCTAGTACTGGGGCATGATGGAATCTTTAGGCGACAAAAGCAACTAAATGGTCTCAAATCTGACCCCATACCTTGAAATTACATGAAATTACATGTCTGTGAGCAAAATTTCAAGACTTCTAGACGAGCTGTTTGGCTGGTCACTGCCATGTCAAAATGATTGCTCGGGCACACCCCATATATTCTTCATATGAATCATGGCTGTGTTGTGCCCTCTCCATAGATTTCTGGTCCAAGATTTATGGCCGTCCAACGCCTGATTCTCCAGACATATCTTCAACACGAGGTCCCGTTTTTCTCCACGTCCCATGAAATTTCCATGAAATCCCCATGAAGTTCCAATAAGTCCCATTAGACCACCATTAAGCCACCATTAAACCATCAATTAAACCACCATTTTTCCCATCTTTTTGGCTGTCAAGGATCCACTTGGCCCAAGGACCACAAGTTCCGATGTCGTCCTCTTGCCGTGCACGAGTAGCTTCCAATGGCCACTGGTGGATTCACCCAATGCCATTGGTCCAACTACCATTTGGGGATGGTTTTTACCATTTCGAGCTCAGGGATAAAAACAGGTCAAGTCAAGTCAAGTGCACCTGCACTTGACATGTTGTGGGCGCTATTTTTTATAACTTGCGAACCGGTGGACTCATTTCTTTTTGCGGACAAAGTTATGAAACACTGACGGGCACATGTATTCACAAGCTCACGGACATATTGACGTGAATTGGAGTAAGTACTGGTGTATATACACATATATATATATTATGTATATATATATATTGTATATTGTATATTGCATGATATGTATTGTATACTGAGACTGACATGTGTCTGTCATCTTGACATGCAATTGTACTGACACATAGCCAGACATTAGACTGCCAGATGTAGTCATACATATATATATATACATATATATATATAAATCTGTATTATATATATAAGCTCTATAATATATATATATATATACAATATATTTCTTGACATTTGTCTGACATATAGACAAACATCTGTGTACTTGTCTTGTGTTTTTGGTGTGTACTGATTGATGCAGACCTCGAAGCACAGGTCTCCAATGGACGCAAGGACACCGGAGCAAAACATCATTCCTTGGTCGCCGGAAAGTTTCGGACAGGTGACACAACCGGTGTCCCATGGTTGAAAGCGAAGCTGGAAAACCTATCTGCAACCCGTGAAAACCCATGATTTTCCTGGCATGAAAGTGAACATCAACTCAGCGATGTTGATGTTTACGATCGTCGGGATCTCGATCGATATCAGATCTGGAATCGGCGTACCAAAATTGATCCTGAAGACAGCAAGTTTAGCATCGACGGGTCCCAAAATCAAACTTTGGGAAAACCAGATTATCCTCGGGCCAAGATGACCGTCATAATGGACAAAACAAGAGGCTCTTCAGCATCAGTCATGTGTTTCGCACTGGGTACTAAGCCATTGGTTTATTGTGAAATTATTTTGAGATGAGCCATACCCAGCTTTCAACAAGTCCACCATGCTTTTCAGGATCCCATGTACTGACCATTGGGGATTTTTTTTAAACCATACGTCTGGGTGAGACCCGTTGGCACCACTACAGCAGCTGTTCGTCCTATAGGTGAAAAAAGAATGTCAAAAAGGATCTTCTCGGTTGAGAGCCCATGTTTTTATTTCTTCACGGTGTTCCCTGTTCTGTATTTGAAATGGTATATTGTGAAATTTTCTGCGCCAGCAATCTTTCATTGTTTCATACGTCCACGCCGCTCTAGGGCGACCCACCCTTCTGTGTTTAACTTGTTGTGGCAAAAGATTTCTTGTAGCGAAAGTGGCTTGATGTTGTGGGTGATCTCTTGGTCTTCTGATTATATGCCCCAATACTTTTCTTCGCTTTTCCTGTAGAACATAATTTTGGCTGGTTGATGGTTGGTCCTCATGGAAAAATCCCTATACTTTCACCAGGTACTCACCCACTATTTCATACTATTTCTCAATCAAAAAATACCCCCCAAAACCAGGATGGCTGTTGAGAATGGCCGTCTCCATCAGATTTGGCCTTGGAAAGCCGTCGCCACAAAACAAGACCACAGTCAACCCATAAATTTCCACCGTGGCACCAGCGGCGGACCACTTCATCAACACCGTTCGGCCGCACTTGTCCACCAAGAAAAGTCCAGGGATGGTGGCGAAGATGATGACCACACCTGCTGGGGAATTATCTTGGGGGTTTCACCTGGTAACCAGCAAAAAAGGAGAAACCAAAATCTACCAGGAACATCTGAAATTTGGATTGAATCAAGATTCGATTCCTCATTGTTGCTGGTTCAATCCACCAGTGTTTGGTGCTGAAAAATTTCCATGGCCACCATGTGGACGCTACATTTAGAAGCGCTATATTTGATGCATTGAAGGTATTATTTCCCGCTCCTTAAAGTGCGCATTTAGTAAAGTTCCTTGTTCCTTTTGAACGCCTACGAGTTCCTTCACAAAGGACCATCTTGACGCGTCTAACGGCCTGAGACTAGGGTAAAAAGGTGCCCAGCGTGTTCATTGCCGAAGAGTTTGTCGAAGATCAAAGGGCCGTCGTACATGAAGGCGTTTCTAAAGGGCTGCTTCAGGCATCAAATCCATCAGTTGCTGGTGGATTTGGGCTACAGGGCTTCCAGGCCACAATTGTTCAAACAGGCACCAAATTATCTGTTGGAAAACCGCGCATTGACTGCTAAGCATCTCTAAACCAAAGGTGTATCTATAGAGTATAGAGGTTGTGCGACAAAATCTTGACAGATGCAACACCATCAAGAGAGACTTTGAAACATAAACAATGATTCAAAGTTAAGTAGATTGTGACAAACTGTTTCATACTGTCTCTTTCTTTTTGCATACCTCTTGATGTGGTCTCCTGGCTTTGGAAAATGTTTACCCCGTGTCGTAAACCCAATTAAAACACAAAAACAAATAGAGGTTTGTGAATTGGGAAAATGGATATACATCACTCAAATATTTCATGTCCCAGTCATAGCTTGGGATGGTTAACAATGGGTTTCCGATGGCTAAACACCATACACTACCCATATCTACCCATCAGCCAATGTCACACATTATCCTCGAGCCGAGGCTCATGCCACAGAGTTGCTGTAAGAGTTGGATGCTGACGCCAATGCCCAGCAGTTTCACTGGGCGAGAGCTCGAGGCAAAAGGCCAAAATGCTGGAAGAAAATCTCAGGCTTTGGAAGTGACTTAAGCATCAAAAATCGTGATTGAAAACCAGGAGAAATGGTAATTTAACCAACCAAACAGCTGATTTCATGGGAAATCATAGGGATATCATGGAGATTTTTCATGGGGATATGGAAAAATCATCGGGATTATCACGTGGCAAACGTTGGGAAATCCCCGAACCAAACGGGGATTCTTCCATTTCCAGGCTTGATTATCAGATGGTATGGGTTTATCTGAAAATAGAATGCCTTTTTTCCTCCCATGGATCAACTCATCATTTTCCCCATTTTCCCCATTATTGAAACTATGACTTATGATACCCATGCTATAACCATTGCCTTGCGACGTGGATCTAAGCGGTTTTTTTCATCCGATGAAAATCATGGGATCTTCATCCTCGACCGTGTCATTTTAGCGTCCGCTTTTGTGGATCAGTGAAGTACGACTGAATATGGATACATAAGTAGTTTCAAGTTTCCAAGTTGAAACGACCATGTAAAACATTATACCATCATTTGAAATCATATAAAAGGGATAAAAGGGTTATTGGATCATATAAACTCAAATAAAGTCACATAGTACAACATAGATTCATGTTACATATGAAATCACATAAAGTCATATAAATCAATGACCCAAGCCGACCCGCCACCAAGGCGGACCAAGGCGCAGTTGTCGCCGGAGCAAAACTCGACCCAGGTGCCCTTCGTGGTCGAGTCCATCTCATGCTCTTGGCAAATCTCCGCCAGCTCTTCACGCACATCCTGCTGGAGCTGTTGGAGCTGCTGGGAGCTGCTGGAGCTGCTGGGTCTGGGACATAGTTCACAATAAATGTGGTACTGATGGTACATGTTTGGAAAACCATCTATCATCTATATACATAAAATTATATGATATATGATATATGAAATGATATCATATAGAACTGGGAGGGCTCTGACAAATCAACATGTACCAAAGAAATGCATACAAATGTGGTGTTGTGTCTCCAGGAAAAGGGAGGCGTCAGGCTTACCAAGGGTCAGGTTTCTCCAGAAGCATCCTCCATAGATGTGTGTTTCAACATGGGTGGAAGTTTAAGACCCATTGAGAAGCATTGAGTTGACGAAATGGAAACTACTTCATTTATCGTGTATACATGTATATATATATATGTAAATGTGTATATTTATGTTTACATATATATATACATATGTATATATATATGTATATTATATATGTATGTATATATGTATGTATGTATGTATATATATATGTATGTATATATATATGTATGTGTTTCCCATTTCTCACTTGACCCACCATGTTCCCATTTCTTTCGCCATTCTTCCACGTGTTTCCCGGAAAATTTGCCCGGCCTCGCTGCGCAGCAACAACAAACACCTCAGCGCCTGCCGAGGCTTGCCTGAGGCTTGCCGTTGCACAGCTGGGGCTGTGGAGATCCTTCTGAATCAATGTGATTTAACATGATTTTGAGCATGAAAAATATTGGATTTCACCATGAATATAGGTGTTCTTCATTAAACTTGAGATGTTCCAAAGGAGTTGCCCTTTGGGTATTGCAAATCAAACAGGACATAGGAAGATCCCCAAAAGATCCCAAAAGGATTTTGTCCATTGTCAGGATAGATACCCTCCAGAAAACCATGTGTATATATATATATATATGTGTGTATACATATATATATATAATATGTATAATGCATGTATGTATGTACAGTGTATATAATATATTATACATACACAAATATATATATATATATACACATAGCATAGAAATGGAAAACGCACCACTGGTGATGCGTACATCATTTTCCCGAATGCGTAGCAAGGGTTCCCGTTTCACTCTGGGGGTCTGGGGTTGAGGGTGTGTTCGCTCGACGTTGCGTTCACGATCGCAACCGTTCGCAACCGTTCGCAACCGTCCGCAACCGTTCGCAACCGTCCGCGCGATCCCCGTATAGCCGTGCCTATGGGAAGTTCTGCAGAGGTGGTCATTTTTGGAGGTTTCAGACGTGTTGTTGCTTCGTTTCGCGTGGCAGGCGTGGCACTTCGTGACATTCAGACGTGTTTTGCAACGTGTTGAAAATCGTTTTGCGTGGCAGGCGCAATACTTTTGTGACGTTTTCAGAAGATGTGTTGCAGTTTTCGTGGCAGGCGCAGCACTTTGGACGTGTCCATCGTCATTTTTCGTGGCAGGCGCAGCACTTTAGACGTGTCCTGTTGCCTTTTTTTGTAAATCGCATTGGCAGGGCTGCGTCAAGTGGTGACAAGGTGCAAATTCCGTGGCAGGCGTGGCATTTTCTGACATGTGCTGAAAATTGACGGAAGCCTCGCACGAAACATCGATTTTGAGGTTGCAAATTTTCAGGTTCTAAGGAAAACTCGTAGGAAAACGTCGATTTTGCAGCTACAAAGTGTGAAAATTGGATGAAGTCTCGCACGAAATGCTCGTTTTGGTGCTCCCACCTGTCTCGTCTCGCGTCTCTGGTTCCCCGTGGCCTCGCCGTGTCTATGGGGGAAGCTGCAAAACTTGTCCTTTTGTCATGTTGCCAAGTGTGAAAACCGCCGGAAGTCTCATACGAAATGCTGGTTTTTCTGCATCCACGTGTCTTGTCTCGAGTCGCTGGTTTTCCTGTGGCGTCGCCGTGTCTATGGGGGAAGCTGGAAAACCTGTCCTATTCGAATGTGTCCAAGCAAGTTGTCATGTCGTTTTGCATGGCAGGCGTGGCACTTTGTGACATTCCAAACTTGTTTGATAACGTGTCGAAAATGTCAAAATTGGAGGAAGTCTCGCACGAAATGCTCGTTTTTCTGCACCCACGTGTCTCGTCTCGAGTCTCTGGTTTTCCTGTGGCGTCGCCGTGTCTATGAGGGAAGCTGCAAAACCTCTCCTTTTCCAAGGTTTCCAAGCAGGTTGTCATGCCGTTTTGCGTGGCAGGCGTGGCACTTTGTGACATTCCAACCTGTTTGATAACGTCTCGAAAATGTCAAAATTGGAGGAAGTCTCGCACGAAATGCTCGTTTTTCTGCACCCACGTGTCTCGTCTCGAGTCTCTGGTTTTCCTGTGGCGTCGCCGTGTCTATGGGGGAAGCTTCGCACTCCACACTCTACACTCTACACTCCACACTCCACAATTTACACTTTCACTCCACACTCCACACTCTACACTCTACACTCCACACTTTACACTTTGCACTTTGCACTCCTCACTCCTCACTTGAGACTTTACACTCCACACTCCACACTTTACACTCCACATTCCTCACTCTACACTTTACACTCCACACTCTACACTTTACACACTCCACACTCCTCACTCCTCACTCCACACTCTACACTCCACACTCCTCACTTTACACTCCACACTCCACACTCTACACTTTCCACTCCACACTCCACACTCCACACTTTACACTCCACACTCCACACTTTACACTCTACACTCATCACTCATCACTCCACACTCCACACTTTACAATCCACAGTCCTCACTTTACACTCCACACTTCACACTCTACACTTTCCATTCCACATTTCACACTCTACACTTTCCACTCCACACTCCACACTCCCCACTCCACACTTTAGACTCCAAACTCCACACTTTACACTCGTCACTCCACACTCTACACTTTACATTCTACACTCCACACTCTACACTTTACACTCTACAGTTTGCACTCTACACTCCACACTCCACACTCCACACTTTGCACTCTACACTCCACACTTTACATTTTACACTCCACACTCTACACTCCACACTGCACTTTCCACTCCACACTCCACACTCCACACTCTACACTTTACACTCCACACTCCTCACTTGACACTTTACACTCCACACTCTACACTTTACACACTCCACACTCCTCACTTTACACTCCACACTCCACACTCTACACTTTCCACTCCACACTCCACACTTTACACTCCACACTCCACAATTTACACTTTACACTTTACACTCCACACTTTACACTCCACACTCCTCACTTTATACTCCACACGCCACACTTTACACTTTACACTCCTCACTCCACACTCCACAGTCTACACTCCACCTTTCTCACTTTACACTCCACACTTTCCACTCCACACTCCGCACTCCACACGCCACGCTTTACACTCCACACTTTACACTCCACACTCTACACTTTACACACGCCACACTCCTCACTTTACACTCCACACTCCACACTTCACATTCTACACTTTCCACTCCGCACTCCACACTCTACACTTTACACTCCACACTCCACACTTTACAGTCCCCACTCCACACTCTACACTTTACACTCCACACTCCACACTCTACACTTTACACTCTTTTCTTTACACTTTCCACTCCACACTCCACACTCTACACTTTACACTCCACTTCACACTTTACACTTTACACTCCTCACTCCACACTCGACACTCTACACTTTACACTCCACACTGTACACTTTACACTCTACACTTTACACTCTACACTCCACACTCTACAATTTACAAACTCCACACTCCTCACTCCACACTCCACACTCCTCACTTTACACTTCACACTCCACACTTTGCACTTTACACTCCTCACTCCACACTCTACACTCGACACTCCACACGCTACACTCCACACTCCACACTTTACACTCCACATTCTACACTTTCCACTCCACACCGCAGACTGGTAACAGGGGAAATATGAACAAGACTGTTCAAATAAACTATTGCAGAAAAGTGTTGTGCGTCACTGCATATCCATGTGTTTTGACATCTGTGCCATTAACATACGTGTGAGCATTCGGGTTTGTGGGCTTCATCTTGTTTTTTGGGCAACATCGGGCAACCATGGCTGTTCCCATCAGATCCGCCCCGTCATTTTTCTAGGGCCACAACAGAGCCTCGGATCGTGTCCGGTTTTTTATGGTCAAGTTACATGGGAGAGTTTCGTAAAACGATGCAATGACCAGACGACATAGTTTCGTTTAAAAAAAAAGTAAGATGGGGATGGGTCAAAACCTTGTACCCCTGGTGAACATCAAAATAGCTGGTAAATGGATGTTCATCCCCCTAAAAATGGTATTAATAGGTATTGATCCATAGCCAGATCTGAAACTGTGGTACTCCCAAATCCAATGGTGTTTCCAATCATTTTGCCATGAAGAGAATGGTGGTTCATCTTCATTTTTCCATCAGTGCCAGACTGCCGGACTTTGGGATATACTCATCGATTAGTAGGACAACCCCTGGGGATGCAACCTGTACTTTTTCCATGATTGGTTGGTCCTGTCCTGGATCACATTAAAACCTGTGGGTAAAAGAAAACCATGTTTCATGGTTAGATCATCTCAAATCCCCTTTTTGTGGTTATATATAATAAATCAATGTAAATCATGAAAAAACAACATGTTTTGATGCTTCAAGCCTCATTTCTTGATGGTTAAGTCCCATTTCTTGATGGTCCACGAAACACCAGCCCCCGCCTAGCCCCAGGCCAGGCCGTCCGGGTGCCTTGTTGTACCAAATAGCGAGGCGAGCCAGGCATGAAGATGCCGCCAATCACCAGCATGATGCCAGGGACGATCCTAGGATCTGAACCATGGCAGATACCATCAGTAGGGTTAGAACCAGAACCTGGTTATAACTCAGATTATGACAGATTATGGTTAGATCCATTAGTGATGTTAATATGATTTTAAAAAAATGTGTTTTGAACTCAGATTATGGTTACATATTTATACAACCATCAGTTCTAGATGGGGAGGTTCAGAACCACAACTCACTTATAGATGGAATCTGTGGTTCAGAACTATCATCGGATTGTGCTTCAGGAATCGGATCTGTGGTTTTGAGGGTGCATCACTTATAGAGGGGGAGTAAAAGAAAAAAACCTTAAGCCACAAGATAGCCACAAGTAACTACAGCAACTAGTCATTTGGGGATCGGTTCCCTCCTTGGGGGTATTTGAGGCATATTTCAAGATAGGGGATGAGATTAATACGATACTCCAAATTGTCCCGATTAGTGGGGAGCGATTGTAAAGCAAGGGTCACAGTGCTTAAGGCAGTGAAAGATCCCTTGCTTGGATGTATGTATGTATGTATGTGTGTATATATATATATATAATTATATATAGGGGGTTCCATAAATGGGGGTACCCCTATTTCAGGAAACCTCCATATACACATTATATACTGAACACATAATTGTCACCTATATGCATACAATAGGAATCAAGACAGGATTGGAGATTTCAATGGTTTATTTGGGGAGAAGTATAAAAAAACATCGCTAAAGATTGAGCTCCTAATGGACCCTTGAAAATCTGCTGCATCACCCGTGCTTCCTCTTGATATCTCTTGATTAAATCCGCAGCAGGCCACATTCAAAGGACAAATGATACATATATTATGTGTTGAACCGAAGGAAGTGATTTGAGGTTACTGCACAAGGCAAGGCGGATCCTACTTCATTTTCCATTCCCTGACCCTTTTCCATGAATGACCTCGTTTTCAAACGCTGCGCTGAGTTCTTGCCTTTTCTGCATGTCAATCTTATCTACTTCGTTTTTTTATGCGAACCCACCTCATTTTGCAGCTAGTTTGGGGGTAGAAAGTATTTCCCGAAGACTATTGTTGTGCACAAAGTATCAGTAGAAAAGCAGTTGCTCTTATAAATATATCAGTGCAGGCAGTGCAGGTGGACTCGGTCTACAGTGAAGCTGGTAAGCCATCCATCCCGCTCCAACCACCAGTCAAGCCGTAGTCCGACCGTAGTGCTACAAATTCATTGAAGATCTGGCTGGTGGTTCAAACCCACCAAGCTCGGCATCAACGCACCTCAACCTGTGCCATCTCCCGTCATTTTTCTTGGTTATTATCACACATGGCAAAAAAATTGGTACTTGAAAATGACAATCATCAATCATCATCTGGGGAAAATGACATAAAATGACCATCATCTGGGACTCAATTTTTGAATCTCGACCCATTTTTCGGAATGTTTTTCACCAATTCAAAAAAACGCGGGGCTTTCGAAGAACTCCGCCCTTCACCCGGTCTTCTGAACTCGGCCCATCTGCTGTGCCGCGATGACCCATCGCCATCCGCCATAGGGTTTCTCGACATCTTCCAAGACCAAGGCTAGGAGAAAGGCGATCATGATACCCACCTGGGTATCACGCGGAAATAAATACATCAAATGCATGGTTTTTAATGGTAAGTTTATATATTGCTATTAGGATTTATGATGGATATTAGTTTACTATACAATTCAATTCTATAATTCAAAATGGCGGAGAAAATTAGGTTCGTCCCCTAGCGGTAATGAAGGTCTTGCACACCCCTCAGCAAGGCTAAGGCGAAGCCAGACTGAATTAGGATTACAATGATTTTGCCGGTTGCTCATATACACACATATATATATATATTGTACTATATTATACAGTCGGGTGGGGTTATAAACTGACAATTTGGAGGCACTTCCTGTATGTGTACCAGGATGAAAGGAGGGTTTCGCCTACCATTTTTTTTGGTGCATCACCTGGCCCATTCGGAATCGTCTCCAATGACCATCTTTTGTGAGTTGGATGTGTATATATACTGCAAGGGTCCATCATATTGAAGCTTCAAGTGTGACCGTTTTTGGGGCTCTCAAACCGGCCCCATTTATGTTGCAGTCCCAAGACAGCATCAGACTTGTGGACACATGCTTCGACGCAGCCTTTTTCAGACTCACAGATATTGCTGCTTCGCAGTTCAGTCAACATGTCTGACACAGCAAATGATGAAAGCGCAGCTGGCAATGGTGCAGACGGAAGACCTGATGGCGCGGCTGTGCCAGTGCGCGCAGCTGTGCCAGATCAGCTGCCCGGCTTGCGTGCTGAAAGGCAGGTTTTAAAGCAGCAGCTGAAGGCCGCCACAAAGCAGATATGGAATGAGGTCAGGTGTATGCATGTGTGCAAAAATCAGCCGTAGGTGTGACAAAGGCACCCGGTTTCATTCATATGTTCGAAATTTTGCAATCAATCTTGGATTCCAGCTTGCCACGAATTGGTCCCAGTTTTCGTGGTGGGCGCAGTATTTGGTAAGCCCTTAAATGCATTTCTCGTGGCAGGCGCAGTATTTGGTGAACCTCTGGTCCCACTTCTCGTGGTGGGCGTAGTATTTGGTAAACCCCTAATTCCATTTTTCGTGGCAGGCGCAATAGTTGGTGAACCTCTGGTCCCAGTTTTCGTGGCAGGCGCAGTACTTGGTAAGCCCCTAATTGCTCCTTTCGTGGCAGGCGCAGTATTTGGTGAGCCTCTGGTCCGAGTTTTCGTGGCAGGCGTGGGACAAACGCCGAAATCGTAACGTTGGATTCCAACGTTATGCTTGTTTTTCGTGGCAGGTGGGGGACAAAAGTCGAAATCGTAACGTTGGATGCGGCCAAAAAAGAATATTATATTCTATTTCAAACCGCGTTCCAACGTTATGATTTCCACTTTTTTGTGAAACTGTCGCCAAAAACGGATCGTAACGTTGGATTCCAACGTTATGATTTTGGTTTTCGTGCGGGGAGTGCTTCGATTTTGGCCGCGCATGCTTTCCTAGCAAATCGTAAATCGCATTGGAACTGGCCATCTCATGCTGATTCCAGGATGCTTCAGATTGTCATTTTTCGTGGCAGGCGCAGTATTTGGTGAACCTGTGTTCCCATTTCCTGCAAGAGTTGTAGTACAAAGAAGTGCATTTCTGCAAGCTTTGTAGTACAGAGTAGTACTGGGAAGTACGTTCCTGCAAGCTTTGTAGTACAAAGTAGTACTCGGAAGTACGTTTCTGCAAGCTTTGTAGTACAGAGTAGTACTGGGAAGTACGTTCCTGCAAGCTTTGTAGTACAAAGTAGTACTGGGAAGTACGTTTCTGCAAGCTTTGAAGTAGTTCTGGCCAGTGGAATATTTCACGCCCAACCACAAGGGTGCCATCGACAGACGCACAGTCTGGGTGGAGTGTTCGAAGAAGGTGTTCAAGTCCGAGGACCGGCTGGCCCATGCAAAACGGAACGGTACAAACGGCCATCCAAAGGAGGCCAACAGCATAATCATGTTCCTATTTTGTTTTGAATGCGATGTTATCAAACATGGTTGAATTCATAAGAGATGTCTGCACTAGTGCTTTGGGACCTTCTGCCTCCTTTGGATGGGCGTTTCCAATGTTATGTTTTCAGTGGGTGTGAGTGGCGCCAGGATTGTTCTTCGAGCTTTTCTGGTGAAAATTTTCCTGCTTCAGCCGAATCTGGCACAGCTGCTGCGAGCAAGAACACTCCTGATGGAAATCTTCCTGCTTCTGTCGCAACTGGCGCAGCTGCATTGCAGGAACCTCTCATGCCATGGCCTTGTGATGAGGAGATTGAGGCAATGATGGACGATGCCTTTGAATTTTCGTGCGACTTTTGCGGGCCCAAAAAAGAGAGCTTCATGTGTTGTGCAGAGAAGCACCCATTACCTTGAAGATGCATCCCTTTTCGGTTTTTGTGATTGGCCCAGCAGGAGTTGTAACCCCATGTTGACTAAGCGCATTGTCCGGGCAATCCAATATATGCTCCATCTTTGCTCGCCGCAGGATGCTGCTGAAGGCGTGATGGCATTGCTGGTCAGTCAATTTGCGCGGGCCAAAAAATGAGACCGCTTTCTGTGCTGCTTTGAGGCTTCCGAAGTATGGCCCCCAGGTGTGTGTGTGTGTGTGTGTGTGTCGCTCGCCGCTTTTTTCAATTTGTCTTGGCAGGAGTTTTTGGAGACCCAGCCATGCTTGCCGTAATATCTGGGCGGGAGAGTGTGACCACTAATCTGGCCAAACTTTGTTTATTTCAGTCAATAAGGTGTTCACAACGCATGGCTCCCTATAGGGTCAACTGTTTTGGTCGTAAAAAGAAGAGGTAGCTGAAAACAAAGCGTGATTCTTTATTCTGCTTCGCTGACATTTGGCTATACCCTCTTAGCGAAGGGGTTTCTGTCATGTCCATGAGAGGCTGTGTCAAGAATGCGCAGGAAAACACACAGGCATGATCTATATATGATGTTAACTTGTACTTTATAGTACTTTCATGTCTACGCAAGTGTGGCAAGGGTATATATACACATGGAAACTTGCTAAAAGCTGTGGCCGGGCGCGGCCAAAGGCACGCCATGGCAGCAGCGGAGCGTCGTGAGGCATTGAAAGCTTCTTTGCATGAAAACAGGTTGCGCTTGCGGAGTTGTGAGCAAGCTGCACGGCGCAACAAGCTGCGCTTGGAACATGGGGGGTTATCAGTGACAGCTGTCAAAAGAGTGCTGGCAGTGTACATGCTTTCTTCTTGGGATCTGGCGACGGCGGAGGAAGCTGCAAGACATTTGTCAACGTTACCCCCAGCAGATGTGAATTTCCCCAGCAAGACTTTGGTTCGGCAACTGTTTTTGGATATTGATTTAGACGATCTTCTTTGCATGCATGACGAAGCCAACATGGCTTGGGCAAGGGCTCTGAAATTTGCTCGCGTCTTCCTTGGGGAACAGGAGGTTTGGCGTTGGGTTCATGCACAGAACCTTGCCAACGGCGTGGCTCCGTGTGCAGCAGAAGTGTTTAGCCGCTTTGAATCCTGCAATGCCTGTAAGATTCCAAGTGGGCGGCCTCATAAACGAACTGTGAACAAATGGGTTGCTCGATGGCGTGCTCGTTGGGCCGTGCGAAGGGGGCGCTTGCGGCCGATTGGCCAAATCAATCCGGAAGACTTGCAGCAGAAGGCCTGCAAACTTTGGATGTCAGGTCCTATTTTTGGGACCGCCTGGGAGTCCCGAATTGTGGTCTTGTTTAAGTGGGGGAAGCAATTTTGGGGCCCAAAAACGGTCTCAATTTTGGGGCCGCATTTGGAAACAATTTTGTCTGTTTTTGGTGAGACTTCATTGCAAGATTTTTCCGACCATGGCAGATCAATGTCTTCTGGAAGAGCATTTCCTACATCACCGAGAAGGTCACTGGCAAGATTCTTTGGATCAACTTTGACGAGACTTCAATAGCATATTCCCCACTACCGGGGGCGGGGTGCATAGTAAACGCGAAGCATTGGAAGAAACATCCAGAAGTGCCACACATGAAGATCAGAAAGGATCGCCGGCGCGGCGCTTACACATACTGCGCTCTGATTTGCAGTGATCCAAGTATACAACCATTTCTTCCTCATTTCTTGATTAGCTCCCAGACTTGGCTACCGAGCTCTTTGCTGAGAGCGTACAACGCTTTGCCTCGTACGCAGCTGCAAATCATTCGTGGCAAGTCATCTTGGGTCACAGCTGATTGCATGCTGGTGATTTTACAAGCCGTGAAAAAGGCGCTCATGCCTTTTCTCGCAGGCATCTCACCAGTCATAATGTGGGACTGCGCGTGCCCACACCTGCCGAAAACTATTTTAGTAGCGGCAAAGCGACATGGATTTCAATTACTATATATACCAGCATCTACAACAAGTTTACTCCAGCCTTTGGACGTCTTCGCCTTTTGGTGCTTCAAGTCGTACTTGCGTCAGAAGTACCGAGAACAGAGGCAGACAGCTGCAGAGGGGCAGCCAGAACCATTGGCTTGACTTTGGCAAATTTCGCAAGCACACAAAGAGTGCTTTGCATGCCACAACTGGTCGGGGGCCTTCAAGTCTGTCGGGACCTCCCGGGATGTTTCACATTTACACTCAGCCCTGGCTTCTTTTATGGCACACCCTGTTTCTTTTCCTGCGGCGGTGAAAACGACCAAGGAGGAAGTGCAAATGATCTGGCCGAAGCGGCGAAAGATGGGCTACGCTTATGCGAGCCTGCTTTAAAAAGCTGCTGTTCAGCAGATTGTACTTAGTGAAGCAGGGCATGAAAAGCTGAGATGCGAGTTTGCGTGAGCAAGCTGGGGCACTGTTGTGTGTGTGTGTGTGCGTTAATTGCCGCACTGCAAGGGTCCATCATATTGAAGCTTCAAGTGTGACCGTTTTTGGGGCTTTCAAACCAGCCCCATTTATGTTGCAGTCCCAAGACAGCATCAGACTTGTGGACACATGCTTCGACGCAGCCTTTTTCAGACTCACAGATATTGCTGCTTCGCAGTTCAGTCAACATGTCTGACACAGCAAATGATGAAAGCGCAGCTGGCAATGGTGCAGACGGAAGACCT